ACTATTTATTTATTCACACTGTAAAAAAATTTATTTAAATAAATAAATAATATCAAATATTTAAATTTTATTTGAATAATTTTTATTTAAATCAATTAAGTAATTATATTTGCTTCGAATACTGAAATTATTGGTGTTCAAATACAATTTCTGACTTAAATAAAAATTATTTTGATTCAAATAAATATTTATTTGATAAAAGACAAGTAATCGGTTATTTGAATCAAATAAATTTTTTTTCAGTGCAAGATTTGAAAATTAAAAAAATTTTTCTGCACGAACTTTTAATTATTACAATGCTCGCAATTAAAAAATCAAAATATATTTAATGAGACTGAAAAATGTATAATTTTAATTATACAAATATTGTTATAATTATAACATTAATTTTATTTTAATATTTCTGTATGGACTCGAAAATTTTATTTTAAACTGACTTTCAACTCCTTAAAAATATTTTTTGGTAGTCTTTTACAATATTTATTTTACCTTTTGTCTTTATATTTTCTAATTAATTATTATTTTTATTATTATTTTACTATTAACTATTTACTTTTTCAACTTTTCCACACTCAAAAAAATTATTTGACTTAAAGCCCAATGAACTTTTATTTCCTTTATTAGCAAATGACTCTTCTGTGTTTAAATAATTTTTTTTTTTTGGTTCAAATAAAATTTATTCGTTTCAAATTTATTTTCTTAATTGAAATAAAAATTTTATTCGGTCCGAATACAATTTTTATTCGTTTCAAATTAATTTTCTTTGTTCAAATAAATTTTCTTTGTTTCAAATAAATTTTCTTGGTTCAAATAAATTTTCTTTGTTTCAATTAAATAATTTAATAGGCTCTGAGACAAATATATTTTTATTCAACTCGAAAAAATTATATTTGCTTGAAATAAAATTTTCCTCTGGGTACAAACTGTCAACAAAAAAAATTGAGACATCCGTTTTTGTATAATTTGAAAAAAAAATGCAAAAATTCAACTGAAAAATTTTGAAAAAATTTTTTGGGTATAAAATAATGAAACTATTTTAATTGAATAAAGATATTGTTTATAAAAAAAATCTCTTGCATTTTATGACTGATTAAACGATATAAACGCATTTATTATACATCCACCTAAACGAAAATAGATTGAATTAATTTTCGCTTCTCCTCTTTTTCGTATTATAATGAATTCAGAATTATTTTTAAGAGACGGCGAAGAAGAATAATTGAATGTATAAATAATTCAAAAAGGAAAGCTGATGTCTAGCTTTTATTAAAATAATTGTGACAGCAATATTATATTATGCCGTCAAAAGTCGCAGTTTCATTCGAAAATAAAGGATGTAATATTTCAGGAAAAGTTTTTCGATTAAAAACACAAGCAAAATAATCAATTTTTTCCCCTGAAATATAACACCTCGAATTAATAAAATTCAAATTTGTATAATTAAGAACACATATCTAGATATTAGAAAATTATAGTTTATAGCAATAAAAAATAGTTCTAGAAAAATAGCGAAACTACTAGTTTGTTAATTTAGAAATAGTTTAATGGATGTTTTAGATTGTTTACAAGCAAAAAAAAAAAAAAATAGAAATCGCATGAAAATACATATGTAGTATCTTTAAATAATAGTATTCCAAAGAAAAAAAAATCTCCTGATAACTTGCCATCCAAAAGTTGGAATTATGTTATACGAAAATATTAATGCACAAATTTTCCTTTGCCGCTACTTTCAAAGCGCACAGTAAAAGTATTTCTATTTTCTCCATTTTCTTCTACTCTTAAAAGAAAAAATTCTACACAAAAATCTATAATTATAATCAATAACAAACCTCTAATTTGTGAAAATCAAACTTTAATATATTCAAATATTTGTTGACTATAGTTCAAATAATTTTTTTTATATTTAAAAAATTTTTTTAAAAATTGTATTAAAGGCTTTAAAGTTTAAACTTGACTGAAAATAAAAAAAAAAAAATAGAGAAAAAAATAGAAATGTTTACTATAATAGAAAAAGAAACAATCTCAAATTTTTTTACGAGTTAAAATCGTTCATTAAGTTTCCTATTTGTATAAGACTATCAAATCTGAGATCAAAGAGTCAAAAAAAATTGTAAAGAAAAAAGAAAAAAAAAGTCCAAACAAAGCAATAAACAGCAAAAAAACAAAGTTACCAAAAAATTTAACTGAATTTTTTCAAATTGTCTTCCAAGAACAAAAATAGAAATAAAAAATAAATTCGCTAATTTAAAAATAACCAACGCTAATTTTCATCAACAGGAAATGAATATTCGAATTATTTTTCGCGAAAACAAAACAAAAAAAAAAGAGAAAAAAGGTCAAAACTGTATTTTCAAACTTCGAGGACCACGAGCACAATAAAGAATCTTTCTTTATTTAAAAAAAATAATAATGAACGGAATAATAGAAAATATAGATAAAGAAAGAAAGAAAGAATTCTCCAGAAAAAAAAATACTAATAGTCTAATAAAAAAAAATTGTAAAGAATAAAGAAAAGAAAAACATCAACAGAACTTTTGGATAAAATAAGAAATTGATAAAAAATAAAAAAAATTATCACGTGTGTTATGTAAACGATTTTAAAATCGTCTATGACACATATAGTATAATTATAATCATATTATAGCGAATAAATCGATTCATAATTGATGTTGTACTTTGGTAAATAAGTGTCCATTATATGTCACCGGCAATCTAAACAATAAGACTATAAAAAAAAGTTAAATATAGGACTCATAAAAAATGTATTTAATTATTAACAAAAAAAAAAAAAAAATTATAAAACGTAAATGGGTCAATGTAATTGTTTCACATAGAGGAAAATTATTCCATTCCTAATTAGTTTATGTAAAAAAAAAATCGACCAACCAATTGGAGATTTTAAATTACTGATTATTCTACTATAAATTCATATCAATATTTTATAATTAAGATAATAATTATCTAAATTGGAGACTTTTTATTATTATTATTATAATTAGGTACTATTATCATTAATATTAATATTATTATTGTTATTACCCAATATAATTATTATTACAACTTTTTTGCTAATAATTAATATTATATTATTACTATGGATTATTACTTCTAAATTTAAAAAAAAATTCTAATTTTAAAAATTCTACTATCGATTATTACTATTATTATTAACTTTAATAATAATAATAATAATTATTATTATTATTATTATTATTATTATTATTATTATTATTATTATTCAGTTAATAATAGTCATAAGTTAATAACAATAAATAATTATTACATTTGGAAAATTAATTCACTTATGTATTTCCACTGAGAAAAAAATTTAATTCAAATAGCCAATCACTTGCCTATTATCATATTAATGTTTACTTAATTCAAATAAATTTGATCGAAGTTCATAATAATTTCATAATTTTTATTATAAATAAAATTTTCAATATTATAATTTCAGTATTTTAAGAAAATACTATTTAACTCAAATTAAAATTATTTGATTCAAGTAAATATTTATTTTATAATAGATTTAATAAATAATGAAGCAATTTGAATCAAATAAATTTTTTTTCAGTGTATTATTTATTTATGCATTTATTATTATTAAATATTTGAATTTATCACTCGATCGTCTAAACCAGTGTTTTATATTTTAATTTATTATTATTCTTATTAATATATAAAAATCGAAGCATGAAAAAAATTGAAAAATTTCTCCAGTTGGATGGCGACGTTTAAGTGCGAGAAAAAAAATTCCCTGTAACCAATGTCCTAAAATTCTAAAAATTCTCATAATATTGATAACAATAGAAAAAAAACTACTGTCGAAACTATATTATATATATTATATATAATATAAATGAATATAAATGTTTTTATTTTATACTGAATGTATTTCGCATTTGATGTATATGTATTTTTCGTAATATAAAAAAAAAAATTATACTGACGTTGAAAAGCGTCGCTTTTTTTTATTAATTGAAAAAAAAGAAGTTGATGAAAAGTGGCTTCTTATTTTATGGGTATATTTTATTGTGACAAGTGTCAACATAGATTTTATAATGTTGTAATAAAAGTATTTCTTTTTGTAAACGTTCGTTTTTTATTTTTATTCAATTATAATATTTAATTTCTTTTTTATTTTCTTTATAGATATTTATCATAATTATTTTTTTTAATAATGCACGAATTAATAATATTTTATGTACACTGAGAAAAAAATTTATTTGACACAAATAAATATTTACTTGAATCAAATAATTTTTATTTAAGTCAATTAAATTTGAACCAATAATAATTTCAGTATTTGAAGCGAATGCGATTTATTTGTTTTAAATAAAAATTATTTGATTTGGTTAATTATTTATTTGATAATATAGACAAAAGTAATCGATTATTTAAATTAAATAATTTTTTTTCAGCGTTCGTTGATGAAAATAGAAGTAGAAAAGGAAAATCAGCATGTTAAATAAATAATATTGTCCATAATACATAAATTCACTATTATTAAAATAGCATTATTTTTAAATTGCATATTAAATAGTTAATTAATATTTTTGCACATTAGACTTTAAAAGCTTGTAGATCATAGAGAGCATGAAGTAATAAAACAATAAGAAAAAATAATCAAAATATTTTAAAAAATAATAAAGAAATAAAAATTATTAAAAAAATATAATAAATTAAGAAAAATATAATAAATAGATAAAAATATAATAAAGAAACAAAAATATAATAAAAAATACAAATATAATAAAAAAATGAAAATATAAAGAAATAAATAAAAAAATAAAGGAAAAAATTTAAATTTAAATTAAAAAAAAATTTTTTAATTAAAACAATAATTTAAAAAATCAAAATACAAAATTTTAAGTTTAAAATTTAATTAAAAAGTGAAAATTCTAAAATTTTAATTTCAAAATTAATCGACTTCTCGAAGTATTCGATTATATCATATCGATAACTATAATCGAGAATCACTGATCGATAATCGAACAAACCTCAAGCAAAAAAACTAACCTCAAAACGACAACATCAACAAGAACCATTGACAAGAACAACAACAACAAAACAGAAATACTCTCCTTTTCTCTATTTTTTTATGTATAATTAAATGTATTTACAAGCGTTCTACGATCAATTACCTAGAGTTCTTATTCTTTAGCAGAAAAATTTAAGGTACATTTTAATTAATCAGCTATTCTTACATAAGATTTAAATAATTATTCTAACCTTTTTCTTTGCCTGTTTTTCTTTTGTTCCTTTAAAACACTAAATTTACAATTAACTTTCTGTGTATTTTTCCATTATTACTATTATTATCGATATTATTGTCATTTACACATTTACACAAAAAAAAAAAATTAATTTGATTCAAATAACTGATTACATGTGTATTACCAAATAAATATTTACATGAATCAAATAATTTTTGTTTATATCAATTAAATTGTTATTTTCATAAATAATAGTATTCTTCAGAACATTACGATTATTTAAAAAAAATGTAATAAAAATTCGTTGCGAGAATTCAATTATTTTCTTAAATAATAATATTCTTCACAAGATTACGATTATTTTCATAAATAATAATATTCTTCAGAAAATTTCAATTACTTAAAAAAATATAATAAAAATTCGTTGCAAGACTTCAATTTTTATTAATACAATTGAAAGTAAATTTTCCGAAAAACATAATTAATTTCAAAAAATGTTATTAAAATTCATCAAAAGAAATAATTGAACAATTATTATCAATTATTTTTAGCAATTTTTACAAAAGTTTCTAGATAATTTTCAAATCCATTTGTTTACAATTCAATTTTACGAAATTTTGATTATTCGGAAATTCTTCTATTAAATATATTTAGAAAATAAAAACTTAAAATATTCAAACAAAAATTCAATTACACTTTTTCAAAATACAATTATTTCCAAAAATTCATGCTATAATACTTTTAATATTCAATTATTATCTACAATTTTAACTAAAATTAATTTTTAAATCAATTTTTATTAAAAAATTATACGAGAATTCAATTATTTAAAAAGAAAAAATTATTAAATAAATGAATGTTTCTCGAAATTGAATTCTCATAAAGAATTTTATCAACAAATTTTTAAATAATTGAATTTTCTCGATGAATTTCAATAAAAATTTCAAGAATAATTACATTTTTCGGGGAATTCGGTTAAAATTGTATTATTTATGAAAATAATTGAATTATTGCGAAGAAATTTATAAAAAATTTGTAAATAATTGAATTCCTGTAAAATTTTTATTATTCATGAAAATAATTGAATTTTGGATTTATTTAATAATAAACAAGTAATTGCCTAATTGGTAACTTGATTCAAATAATTTTTTCCATCATTATAAACTACTTAACAAAAAATTCCATTAATTGAAAAATTAAAAAAATATTTCCAGAGAATGGATCCAGAATTTATTGCAAGATTGATACCACAAACAAAAGAGCAAATACGACCAGCGTGTAAAAAATGTGGCTACGCCGGTCATCTAACCTATCAATGTCGTAACTTTATAAAAGTTGATCCGAACAAAGAAATAGTTTTGGATGTAAGCAGTACAAGTTCTGACAGTGATGAAAACTATGTCACTCCTTTAACGGAATTACGTGAAAAGGAGTTGAAGAAAAAATTGAAGGAGGCAAAGAAAAAGAAGAAAAAGGAAAAGAAAAAGAAAAAATCCCGTAAACGTTCATCATCCTCATCATCAGAGAGCAGTGATTCTGATTCATCGGATTCGGAAAATTCATCCGATGATGGAAAAAAGAAGAAGAAGCGAAAAAAGAAGAAAAAGAAGTCCAAGCATAAAAAACGAAAGCACAACTCCTCGGATAGTGATGATTAAAAATTTGTGTTTTAATAAATTAGCCAATTTTTTATTTTTTTTTGACGAAAACGTGTTGTTTCAATTATTTTTGCAAACTTTTGCCTTATAAGATTTTTGCGACTATTTTTCGCAATATTAATAAAGAAATTCATTTTTAAAGTAGATATTTTATTTACATACCTTTTTATCCTATTGCTTTTTTGTACCTTTTAAATTCTTTTTATCCTCTTTTTCTCTTTCTTGAAAACTCCGACTTTTGACATTTGTTCACTCTTGTTTCCAATTGACCAATTGACTAACTTTTGTTTTTCAATTTTCCGTTTTCAATAATATCTATTTTTAAAAATAAAGAGACCACGAAATAAACTTATTTATCACTAAAAACATTCGAATTCACCGGCAATTTTAGTGCTGCCACTAGTTATAAAAGAACACACTATTATCGACGAAACAAACAAGACGACGCAATTTTTTGAGGTTAGGAAATCGACCATATGACATTTTGGGAGTGTTGACAGTGTTGACACTTGTGTTGTCATTCATTTAAATTTTAATTACAAAAAAAATACAGTCTCATTATTGAAAAATGACACGACATGCCAGAAATTGTACTGCAGGTGCAGTTTACACTTATCATGAAAAAAAGAAAGATGCGAATGCATCTGGCTATGGAACAAACTCTCAAAGAGTTGGCAAGGATTCTCTAAAGAATTTTGATTGCTGCTGTTTAACACTGCAACCCTGTCGAATTCCTGTCATCACGTAAGTTCCTTTTTACAATAAACAATTGCACTTAATTGTTGATAAACAATTTCAATTAAAGTAATTACAATTTCAATTAAAGTAATTACAATTTCAATTAAAACTCAGGCTTCGGACTCATCTACTAAAACCAAATATTTACTACTATTTATTACTATTTTTACAATTTGCTACTATTTGTATACTTTTTTAGATTAATGACACTAAAAGCAACTTTTTTCTTTATTTTCGAAGAAATTTGTATCACTTTAAGTTCGCTAACAGTTAAAATAAAAAAAAAATTCTAAAAATTGTAATAAAATTCTATGAAACGATTTCATTTTCAAAAAATTTTCGAAAATCAATGATTTTCAATATCTACAATTTTTAATAAAATTCCACAAATAAATTTTGATGAAATTCTTCGCAAACACTCAATTTTTTTTTAAAGTAATAAAATCTTCACAGGAATTGAAATATTCAATTATTTTCCCAAATAATAAAAATTTTCACCTGAATTCAATTATTTAAAAAAAATTAAAAAAAACTCTTCTTAGAAATTCAATTATTTTTTCTTAAAAAATTGATAAATTCTTTAATTCTTTTTTTAACTCTTCACAAGAATTCAATTATTTTCCCAAAAAATACAAATTTTCACGTGAATCCAATTATTTAAAAAAAAAATTAAATAAAACTCTTCTTAGAAATTCAATTATTTTCCCAAAAAATACAAATTTTCACGTGAATTCAATTATTTAAAAAAAATTAAGTAAAATTCTTCGCAAGAATTCAATTATTTTCATAAGTAATAAAATTCTTCTTAGAAATTCAATTATTTTTCTTAAAAAATTGATCAATTCTTTAATTCTTTACAAGAATTCAATTATTTTTCTAAATAATAAATTTTTTCACGTGAATTCAATTATTAAAAATAAAATTAAATAATATTTTCTCAGAAATTAAATTATTTTCATAAATAATAGAATTGTTCTTAGAAATTCAATTATTTTTCTTAAAAAATTGATAAATTCTTTAATTCTTTCTTTAATTCTTTACAATTATTTAATTATTTTCCCAAATAATAAAATTTTTCACGAGAATTCAATTATTTAAAAAGAATTAAATAAAATTGTTCGCAAGTATTCAAATAATTTCATAAATAATAAAATTCTTCTTAGAAATTCAATTATTTTTCTTAAAAAATTGATTAATTTTTTAAATTCATTCTATAATTCTTTACATTAATTGAATTATTTTCCTAAATAATAAAATTATTCACGTGAATTCAATTATTAAAAAAAAATTAAATAATATTTTCACAGAAATTCAATTATTTTCATAAGTAATAAAATTCTTCTCAAAAATTCAATTATTTAAAAAAATATTGATAAATTCTTTACAAGAATTAAATTTTTGAGAAACATTCAATTATTCAATATATTATTTATTTTTGTATTTAATTTATTGAATTTCACAATCAGTGGAGCTTTCTAATAAGAATTAATTTAAAAACGAATTTCAGTTGAAATTTTAGATAATAATTGAATATTAAAAGCCTTATAGTACAAATTTTTAGAAACAATTAAATTTTAAAAGATTATTAAATTGAAATCGTTGAAAATTTTAGTTGTTAAAATGTAATAACATTTAAATTTTTACTTTAAAAAATTGTTAATTTATAATTTTCTAATCCAATTAATTTTTATTTATGGAAATATTTTTAATGACAAATATTTCTTTGATTTAAACGTTCGAAACTTGTGGATCATAAACAATAACAATAATTAATTAATAATAATCAATTAATTACAATTAAATATTAATAGTTAATTAATTGCAATTATTATTCCAGTTAATTAATTACAGTAATTAATTAAATTCCGGATTTTCAGAAAAGATGGTTATTTATTCGATAAGGAGGCCATTTTGGAGTATATTCTAACAAAAAAGAAGGAATACTCGAGGCAAATGAGGGAATATGAGAAGCAAAGTCAAAAAAAGCAGGTTCGTTCGAAAATATTTACAAATTCTGAAAAAAAATCCCGTTTCGAAATAAAACACTCAAAGGGCAATTTAAATAATCATTTCCGAATTGTTTCAATAATTTAAAATATCAATTTCTCTAATAAAATTAAATTGAAAACATTTTCTAAAAACTTTGAACGAAATTTTTCTCTATTTAAATATTTTCAAAAATTACTCTATAAAAAAAGGAAAAATAGTTAATATTAAAGTCACTTACTTTAAAAATTAGTTTCTTAATACAGAAAATAAATTTTTTTTCTAAAAAAATACCAAATTAAAAGAAGTAAAAATAATGTTGCTCATAAAAGTTGAAAACTTAAAGAACCTTTTAAAGAAAACAAATTCTCAATTTTCAGGAGGAAGTACAAGAGAAAACGGCTAACGAAGAATTGGAGAAACTGAAAAAATTCCTCAATGGCGAGAAAAATATTGTTTCGCAAAATTTATTGAAAAAAAGGGAAGAGGCATCGACATCAATTTCAAATATGAGCAATGGTCAGGACAAGGTACTTCCGAGTTTTTGGATTCCAGCAAAAACGCCAGAATCCAAGGAGATTGCACTTCAGAAACCTGATAAAACAATATACTGTCCAATTAGTGGGAAAATATTAAAAGTCAAAGATCTAATTCCTGTAAAATTCACCGAGGTCAACGATCCCGATGATAAACGTGCAATTATTGTCAAAGAAGCGAGATACATGTGTCCAATTACACACGATGTTCTAAATAATAGCGTACCTTGTGCAGTTTTAAAAACAACGTAAGTTCATTTTTTATTCTTTTTCAAACCAGAATCGAAATCGAAAACCAAGGAGCAATTTTCACTGTGTTACGAAATATTTGTTATTAACAAATATTTTCCTAAAATACCAATTGCAACGAAAAATAGAAGTTAAATTTAACACTAGGAAACTTTATAATTATTTTTTTTTATAATTGAGGCAAAATTATGTGAATAAAATTTTTAATTGAAGAAGAAATAAATAAACGTTCAGAATTTTAGACAAAAAATATTAAAATTAAAATTTATTATTTTCGGAAGTAATTAAATATTGAATTTATAGTTATTTGAAATAATTCGTAATTGAATTTAAAATTTCTTGAAGTAATTAATAAGTAGAATAATTTCTGAAATTAATTTTGAATTAATTTGAGAAATTTGAAAAATTCGAATTAATAATTTTCTAAGTTTATCAATAATTCGATTAAAAATTATTTAAATTACTAAACAATTGAAAAAATAATTACTTTAGTCGGTTAAGAAATTAATTAATTAGTAATTTAATTAATTAATATTTTGATTCATAATTTCTTGAGTCGGTTAAAAAATGAATGGATTAAAATTTGAATTAATAATTTCCTGAAGTAATTAACAATTCAATTAAATAATATTTAAATTATAATTTCCTAAAATAATTAATAATTACTTAAGTCGGTTAAGAAATGAATGAATGATTTGAATTCATAATTTCTTGAAGTAATTAATTGTAGCACTAAATAATATTTCAAATAATAATTCCCATAATTAATTTATAATTGAATTAATAATTTCTTGAAGTAATTAATTGTAGCACTAAATAATATTTCAAATAATAATTCCCATAATTAATTTATAATTGAATTAATAATTTCTTGAAGTAATTATTAATCAAATTAATAATTTCTTGAAGTAGATTATTAATCAAATTAATAATTTCTTGAAGTAATTATTAATAATCAAATTAATAATTTCTCGAAGTAAATAATAATTGAATTAAAATTACCAGAACAAGTTAAGAATTGAATCAATAATTACTCGAACTAATTAGTAATTGAATTAATAATTAGTTTTAGAAAAATTTTATAATTAAAGATCATTCAATTTTTTTCAGAGGCGATATTGTAACGATGGAATGCGTTGAGAAACTGTTAAAAAAGGATTGGATTAATCCTTTGGATAATTCAAAACTTACGGAAAGTGATATAATTCCTCTCCAAAGGGTAAGATGATAATAAAATTTTTTTAATTAAATTTGTACCGTAAATTTAACTCTAAACTTGATAAAAATATAAATAAATATTTTCGTTATCAAAAAAAAAATGTATTTCTAATTTTGAAAAACAATTTTCATTTCAGGGCGCTACTGGATATTCGGCTGTAAATGATAATTTAGAAGGAAAACACGAGAGACCAGTTTTACAAGCGTAAACGATGCTTTGTAATTATATAAAAATATCTACGAAATATCTTTCGAAAAATATCTACGATTCGCCTTAATTAAGAAAGAAATAGCGACCAATTTTCATAATTAAAAAATTAGATTTTAGTTTTATAATGATTTTTCTCTAAATTATTATTTAACACTAATACTTTTTACTATGTCCTTTTACTTAGCCAATTAATCAGATATTTCAATTTTCAACGAAAATAATTGAGTAAAAATTTTAAAAAATAATTATTCTTTATAATTATACTTCTTTATAATTTAATAAGTTTTTTCTAATGTAATTATATTCGTGTAAATTAGAATTATTCATATTAATTCTTCTAAACTAGTATTACTTCAAAGAGGGCAAACTTTATCTTTTCTTTTCTGTAGAAACTTTATATTAGAAATAACCAAAAAAGATTTCTCTTTTAAGAAATATCAATCATTGAATGTACAATTTAATCAAAATATTAATTATTATCACCGAAATTTAATACTAATTAAATATTTTCGATTCTGACCTGTTAATTTTACCCCTGTTTTACTTTTGTCATCATTCGTCATTTGCAATGCGCCATCACCTGAAATTCAAATAAAAATAGAAGATTAAAAATAAATAATTATATCTACTTCAAATTGCAAATAATTGTAAATTTGTAAATATTTCTAATATTTCAAATATTATAATCAAAAATTGTAATAATAATTTTCGCTTGGAAAATTTTTAAAACTTTTTTGTCAACTATTTTAAACAAAAAAAAAATAAATTGTTCAGAATCGACGATTCGATAGTAAAAAAAAATCTATGCAATTTATTTTAGATATTTTCGCTAATTATACAAGAGTATAATTTTTAAAAAGCAAAGAAAAAAAATTGCCAAGAGAAAAATTCGCTAATTTTCTGTGTGAAAAATATTTTCTTTTTTTCAAACGTTGATTTTATAAGAATTCTGAACTTCACCGACGTCTATTTTTTAGTTTTCACTGAATTTTCCACCAAAAAAGTTGTTTTATTTCAAACATTAAAATTCGGGAATAAAATTAAAAAAATATATTTGTGAGAATTGAAAATATTATCGGGATAATTAATTTCAATTTGTATTATTTTCTAATTGACATGGGTAACTAATTATTTACATAATTTACTTTAGATATTTAATTTTTTTTAAATTTAGATTCAAGTAACTGGGGAGTGTCGCCATCGACAGTAGATTGAAAATTGAAACGTCAACTCGGTTGGTCATTCAGTGTACACAGTCACGAAAGACAACGCGCTTTTTCTCAATCGCCGTTGTTTAAAGTTCGCGTCTTCTCATCGTGATCGCGCCATCGCATTTATTGTTAAGTACATAAACAATTTTTAATCGCGCATATTGTATTTTTTGTCGATAATTTTATTCAGTTTTCTTCTTCCTTAAAAAAAAAAAATTCAGTGACCCAAGACAAACAAAAAATGTCAACACTAACCACAACCGTTTTATTGTGTCTCTAAAAAAAAGGGGTGAGTAACAAAATATTTCCCAAATTTCAAAAATCATAATACTCAATTTTTTTCTGAATTGTCAACTCTAATTTTTTTCACACCTTTATTTTCAAAATAAAAAAATTACATTAAAAAAATAATTCGAGTAGAACAAAATTTTGTTTTATTTATTTTCAAACTCGCTTGAGCGCGAACTTTTGCGCACTTTTTAGAAACAAAAGAAAAAAAATTTATTGGTTCAAGGTTACGGGAAGGTTACACGCATCAAATGGAAAAGTCAATGATTTTTTATGAGAGATTGATCTACACAACCAGTTTATCATGACTCTTCAATCATTCATTTTTTTTGTTTATCCTTTTGCTCGCGTTTAAAAATTTTTTTCTCTCTCGATTTTAGAATTTAGAAAAATATTTTTTTCTCTACACTGAAAAATATTCGAAATCTAATTTTTTTTTTACTATTTTTTTCCTGTTAAAATTAATATGAATTTTGCAATTATTTTTTTAACTTAAAATTCGTATTTTCATTACATTAGAATATTTTTCTTTTTCCTTCGATATAAAACAGTTTTTCTGGATTTAAAACTGGTTTTAAAAATGATATACACGTGTCTCGCAGAAACTTGACATTGAGAAAAAAAAGGAAACGTTTTCTTTTTCTGCTAATAATTATATGAGGAAGAAATATCTAGGTATATATAGAGAAACAGGAAAATGTTTACGTTTATCTATTTGTTTATAGAAATTTTTTTCAAACAAGATAAAAATTTTACTTTTAATCGCTTAATTATGGCATTCAATATTTTGTAATCTGATTTTTTGTATTTTCTAAATAATTATTATTATTAATACAAAAATTAATATATTAATATCAGACATAATTGTTTTTTCCTGTTCGAAGTAAAAAAATTTTATTTAGCTGAAAATATATTTTTGTTTGTTTCTTTTTAATTAGGAAAATGTTTTCGCGGTTCAAATGAAGGAAATATTTTTTATGAAAAATATTTTCATAAATTACCGCTTGCAATAAAAATTGAAAAATAAATTAAATAAAGTAAATTTTTAATAGTTAATTTTTTTTAATTATCACACAAAATTATTGTAAGAAAAATTTAATTTCAAGAGGAAATAAATAAATTTCATTCATTTGAACGTTCAGAAGTTTAGGAGCATTTTTTTATTTTTCGAAATAAAATTGCACTTTATCGGGAAATATTTAAATTTTAAAGTTTTGGAAAAAAAATAAATTAATGTTAATTTTATTAACTGGAGCAAAGTGAGGAGAATTTTTCTTCTCTTATTAATAGAAATGTTTTTTGAGATGCAATCTCTTCGCTTAGATTTGTATAAACAGCTAAATTCATGTTTCGCATTATTATACTGCATATATTTTGCACTCGTCAATTTACTATATTGTCAAGTGGATGTAGATGAGAGAAGAAAATTCTACACACGACAACGAATTACAAATACATGATTTTGCATTGATTATTATATTATGAGAGACACTCGAAACATTTGTAAGTGAAAACATTAGAACTCTCCGGAGTTTCTTGTTTGAAAAATATTTATTTACTATAAATTTTAAAAAAAATTTACTTAGAAAAAATTATGAAAATTTTTTTTTTCAAAATTAGAAGAAGAATTAGAAAAATGAATTAGAAAGTAAGAAATAGAAAAGAATTAGAAAAAAATAAAAAAGAATTAGAAAAAGAAATTGGAAAGAAATACAAAAAAATTAGAAAGATAAATTATAATGAAATAAAAAAGAATTAAGTAAATTAGAGAGAAATAAAAAAGAATTAGAAAAATAAATTAGAAAGAGATAAAAAAGAATTCGAAAAAGAATTAGAAAGAGATAAAAAATAATTCAAAAAAAAGAATTAGAAAGAAATAAAAAAGAATTAGAAAAATAAATTAGAAAGAGATAAAAAAGAATTCGAAAAAGAATTAGAAACAGATACAAAAGAATTCAAAAAAAAAGAATTAGAAAGAAATAAAAAAGAATTCGAAAAATAAATTCGAAAAAAATTGGAAAGAAATAAAAAAGAATTGAAAAAATAAATTCAATTTCAATTTTTGTATTTATCAACAAACACTATTTATTTAAAATTATTATTTAAACATACCTATTATTAAGAAGTTAATTTAATATTTTCAAAATATTTGCCAAAACTGTATTTTCAGAAACTAAAAATAATTTACAATAGAAACGAAAAAGAAGAGAAAAATTTTTCTATATTTAAAAATAATTATAATTTATGAAACAATTTACTTTCAATTATTTTGCCGTTGAATATTAATCGTGGAAACTTGAAAGATACGCGAAATGAAAACAAATCCAAGTGAATCAGTATAATATGGGTTTTAAATTAAAATATCGTTTTGCTATTAATTTATATCGAAAATTATAATCAATCGAATTAATTTATATTAATTTTTGTATTGAGACCAAATTACTTATTAATTAAATAATTAATTTATAGGTAGTAAAACTAATTATTTACTGAATATATAAATTGTTTAATAAAAAATTAATTATAAAAATCGATTGTTAATTAATGTAATAATTACTTATTCGATTGATTAATTTTCAATAAGTTATTCAATAAATTAATATAATAAAAAGATTCATAATAAATAAGTAAATATAATTTATTATTTCTAACTAAAAAAATTAATTATTAAAAATAAAATAATTTTAAAATTTAAATTTTTTTTACAATTTCAAACGTTTAAATAAACGAAGATATTTATTATTTTTTTACTGTGAATTTTATTAAAAAATATACGTTCAAATTGAAAAATTAATTTTTACTTAATAAATAATTAATTACAATATTTTTCAGTTCAGTTAATTAATTTTTCAAAAGTTTCGTAAACAAAATAAATATTCCGAACGGAAATGTTTAAAAATCAAATAATTTATTTGATTATACCGCGAGTAAAAATATTAATTAAAAAATTAATTTTTTCGGATTTAATTTAATTTAATTAATAAAATTTAAAAAAAAAAGAAAAAAAAGTTATCATAGTCGGTGGAGTTTCATTCATGGAAGGTGTGAGAGACGCAAGAGTGATTATTAGTTGCTAAATACAGTTGTATTGGGTTGACTGAGCTCACAGATAGTTTAAACATTACGTAATAACTTTTGCGTGAACGTGTTGCGCATTACCTCGCTCGTATCAAAGTTAATGTGGAGCATAGTGTAACGGTCATTTTCCCACAAAATACACGCCTTAGGCTAAAACCATGTGCACGAGATACCTTATCGTTTAGCTACCACTTGGCAATTTTCTTTCCGGCACCTTCAAAATTTATTACAAAGGCGCTTAAAATTAGATTCGCGCTTTGTACATACATTTAATATCAGATATTATCCGATGAACTTTCTTCTCTTTTTCTTAAAATGTAGTTAGATACATTGTATTTATATTCAAACGATGATAAACACGATTTATTTTCATAGAGATAAATTTTAATAAAACTCGAAAGAAAAATTTCATCAATAAAAAAATAAATAGAAAATTGTTATTTTCTATTAAATTTTTATATTATTAAAATTCAAATTATATAGAAATATTTTAGAAAATTTAAATTTTCTATTTATTTTTTTTTATTATTCCTTTCTCAATACTTTTTTTTCTTGATTTGAAACAATTTTTTTTAAATTAAAAATTGATAATTTTTTTAAAAACTGAGATAATCAAGGAGATAGTACGAATTTTCCTAATCATATTAAATCTATTCTTGATGGAAAGAAGAAAAGAGAAAATATTCTTGGAAATAAAAGAATCATCGATTACACTTGCTAGGTTGCCATAGGTTGAACGATGCGGCTTCTTTCTCGAACCTGATTCTGTTCCATGCAATATGAGAAATAGAATTTGCATCTCTTCCAACTGCTATTTTAGCAAAATCAAAAAAAAAAAAAAGAAAAAAGAGAAAAAGAAGGAAAAAAAATTTCCTTACCGATAAGAGAGATAGTCTCGACGTTATTTTTGTATTTAAAACTTTCCCTTTTGAGTTACAATTATACAGAAATAAATTAGACTTCGTACTCGATAAATATTTTTTAAAAAGTATCTTTAACTAAAAAGACTAAGAAAAAAGAAAAAAAAAAGACTAAAAATGTAACTTTAAAA